AAGGTATCTTCAATTCAATTTGAAAGTACTTTCTTGGCATGACTGTGTTTACATATAATATATGTGTTTATATATATAATATAATATACACAAAAGTTAGAAGAAAAAATACAAAATTAGAATTAAAAAATAAAATAAAATAGTATTAAAATAAAGGGCTAAGTAATTAATAAAATAAGATAAAAAATATTATATATTATTTATTTATTTATATATTATTTTATATTATGTGTGTGTGAATATAAAATTAAATAAACATTTATAAGATAAAAATATGATATATTATTTATTTGTTTATATATTATTTTATATTATGTGTGTGTGAATATAAAATTAAATAAACATTTATCAAGACATTTATTAGAAAAACAAAATTTTGTCTGGTGTATATATCCCATTGTAAGAAATTCTGCTTTGGCATTTATTTGTCTTATATATATATATACAGTCATCTTTTGAAATCACATGGTGTGTTGAGCCGTGTATGAAAATGGCACATGCTGTTCTTTGCAGTCGCAGGGCATTAACTCAGAACGCTGAGATTTACCAAGAATTCATGTAACACCTGCGCAAACTGTTAAGAGTTTCTTCCACAGAAAAAAATGACTCATTCTTACCACCTGTGTTAGATACTCCATATGCAATTTACAACCGACGTTATTAGAAAGAAGATGAAGAAATCACAGCCTGTCGTGGAAGAGTCACTGCATCGTGACTCTAAAATCATGATATAAATGCACCACAGGATCACTGGTTATTGTTTAATATAGTAGACAGATTGACAAGCAGACTCTCATGACCCGTTCCACCTACTCAACACTCGTGTGTGTGGAAATGTGGTAGCGGTAGCTTGTGTTTTTGGGTCTGTGTGGTGTTTTATTGTCCTCCAGGGAGCCATAATTCCCACCGGAGAGGTGAAAAACTCAAGTGATCCCATTAACACACTCAAGCTGCCAAATCCCACCGTTAAACGCCTTTTTTAAGTTGGCAGGTTGCAATGATTTGAGAATTAGCAGAGTTGCAATATTGAACAGTGTATTGAAACTGAATCATCTTTAAAGGAATAGTTCACCCAAAAATGAACATTTGCTGAAAATGTGCTCACTCTCAGATCATCTGAGATTAGGATGAGTTTGTTTCTTCGTCAGATTTGGAGAAATGTAGCATTGCGTCACTTGCTCTGCAGTGAATGGGTGCCGTCAGAATGAGAGTCCAAACATCTGATAAAAACATCACAATAATCCCGCAGTAATCCACAGCACTCCAGTCCATCAGTTAACGGACTCTCATTCTGACGGCACCCATTCACTGCAGAGCAAGTGATGCAATGCTACATTTCTCCAAATCTGACGAAGAAACAAACTCATCCTAATCTTGGATGAACTGAGGGTTAGTATATCATCAGCAAATGTTCATTTCTGGGTAAAATATTCCTTTAAATGTAATTGCATGGTCTTTTTGGGTTTTAATGGAGACGTATGAACATGCAGAAGTAGCATCATGGGCATAAGTTAATTTCCCTGATAGGTGCTGATTGAAAAGCCTCAATGAATGCACGTCATTATGCACCGCTGTACACACCATCCAGATGTTTCTGTTCCCGGAGAGGCTTGCGGAGAATCGCGCTCCAGTAAAGAAGGTGTGAAAGCTCAATCTGTTCGTTAGGGTGGCTGAAAACTCCAGACACAGATGTCTTTATTCCAAGAGAATATAATTATGGTTCACATGATCGTGCCTCAGGCAGGGAATTCAACTAAGTGAAAATTGTGTCTTTTCATAGCTCGGTCCACACACACACACACACACACCCACCGGCTTCCTTCAGAGTCTCTCTGCTGTTTCTGAACACCTGAACGCTCATTGAAATCAATACAAGTCATTCACAATTAGACCAGGAACATGCATTAAGTGTTCACACTGACCTTACATTTCCTCGGTCCGTGAATGTCAAAGGCTGAAAAGAAGCTAGTGAGGCGTTTCTGTCTTTTAGTAGTGTCGTTTTCCTGAACACTGACAAACAAACATACTGCGCTTGATCCATCTTTTATTTGTGTATAAGAATGATGATTAAAAGACAGTTTAGGCGTCCTCTGAGCGCCGGTTCATTTGTCATCCTGAGATTATATGACAAAACCACCTCAGTCTCCTTGAATGACCTGCCAGAATGTTTCCTTTGCCAGTTTCTTGAGTGTAAAATTAGAAAATTATTTTCCAGATATCCTTTTAGATACAGATAAAGAACCCTGGTAGGGCTGTGTGATGAAGTCGGTAAGATTTTTAAATGTTTTTAATTATTTTCTGCTCACCACGGCTGCATTTATTTGATTAAAAATACAATAAAAATATGAAATATTATTACAATTTAAAATAGCTGTTTTCTATGTGAATATCTGTTAAACTGTAATTTATTTCTGTGATGCAGCGCTGAATTTTCAGCATCATTACTCCAGTCTTCAGTGTCACATGATCTTCAGAAATTATTCTAATATGCTGATTTGCTGCTCGAGAAACATTTCTGATTATTATCAATGTTGAAAACAGTCGTGCTGCACAATATTTTTATGGAAACTGTCATACATTTTATTTTCCAGGATTCACAGATGAAGAGAAAGTTTAAAAGAACAGCATTTATTTGAAATGGAAATCTTTTGTTACATTATAAATATCTTTACTGTCGCTTTTGATCTATTTAATGCATCCTTACTGAATGAAAGCATTAATTTCTGGTAGTGTATATTATATTACATCATGCATATTAGATAAATCACCCAGCCCTGACACATTCTGACATGTTTTATTGATATTTGGCTGTGAGTTCCAGCTCGGTCCAAATGCGACTCTACTGTAGATCATGAGATGCATCGTGAGCTCGCGGCGCTCTGGGATGATTGAGTCCCCATCTTGAGCATCTGGAGGCAAGCCTAGCGTCACAGGCAGCATTCATCACACACCAAGGATAAACTGAACCGTAGTTTAGCAACTATAAGCACCGTCATCATGTCAATGCGATACTTCATATCTGTACCCAGAGGAAAGAAGAATCAGTAGTTGATTCTTCTAGAACACAGTAATGAGGTTTTCTGTATCTTGCTGAAGTCTCCTGCTTCTCAGATGTTTCTCCTGAGAAAAAGACCCCAAGTGAGATCTATTCACGTTCATATAAAAGTGAAATACTCTGACAGGAGGACTTTAGGAGGAACATCCGAGACGGTGAGATATGCAACCTCACGTTTTCTTGTTTTCATGTAGATTCTGTCTGAAGGTTATTGTGTGTAGAGATGCAAGCGAATCTCCTCCAGACTGTGTGTGACTAAGGTTACATGTTTGTGGCTGACGCCACCTGTGCATTACTCAGCTCTGACATCTCACGGATGCATGTGACAAGCTGATAGTGCTACGATAAACAAGAACGATGTAAAACCATCAGTGGTCGACAGGAACCGAGTCGCAAGTAGATCTGATGTGAGATGCAAGCATATTTCTTTTCTCCACGCCTGTGAAATTCACCTTTCCGTGGGCTCAGTCTCTTACCGTGAGAGCCGTAATGCTGTAAACTCCAGCAAACCTTCATGAATCATTTCATTTACAGACTCGGTAATCCGTTACAATAATAACTTCATCTCGAAGGGCATCATCTCTTCATATCTCACTGTTTCCTGAGATAAATGGGGATGCGCTGATGTTATTGCCATCTGGATCTGTGCAAAATACCTTTTCTTAAGCGCACAGAATTTCAAGACTCACAATTGTCTTGTTTTCTGGGAAAAATATCTAAACTTCCTTAATACAAGATGCATTTATTAGAGAATATATCTTGAATTAATTTTTCCTTCCTCATTGACAAAATGCTTTTTCTTGTTTTAAGGTTTATGCAATTTATCAATGAGGGTAGAAAAAAAAATCAAAGTCGAATTTAAGTAGAAACTTAATTCAAGATATATTCTCTAAAAGCAAGAAAGCTAGCGATTATTTTACACAATTTTTGTTTCTCAAGTAAATTCCTATTTTTTTAGGATTTTTAGATGTTTTTCCTAGAAAATATTGGTAAAGACAAAAATGCTGGTTAAGAAAAATATTATTATTATTTTGCAGTTCTGCCAGAAAACAATTTCATCAGGCAAAACTTGTAAATGAAAAATGATCTTAAAGTAAAAGCATTTATTCTACATAACTATTTATCCAATCTGTATTTTCAGGTTTGCTTTCCTAGTAAATTACTGTTTTTAGGAATTTTTGGAAGTTTTTTTTTTAAGAAAAGCATATTGGTAACGACAAAAATGCTGGTTAAGAAAATAATAATAATTATTATTATTATTTTGCAATGTTGCCAGAAAATTTGGCTGCCAGAAAATGTTTTACACAATTTTGTTTCTCAAGTTAATTCCTGTTTTTGAGGATTTTTAGATGGTTTTTAATGGAAATCCATCCATCCATCCTATATTCCATTTAGTGCAAATGTTTTTCTCTTCTTGTCTTTCTGTTTATGATATATCTAAGATATTGGTAAGATGGTTAATTTAGGATGTAAAATCCAGTGTGTAGAAATAGTAAAGTAGCCTTTATGGAAACATATGAGAATGAGTTTAAGAGGGAAAGTTCACTGAAAAATGAACGTTCTGCCATCATTTACTCAAACCTGCATGCTGTTATTCTTTAAAGTGTTTTCTTACAGCATAACTGTGAGTAAATAATGACCAAATGTTTAATTTCGTTTGAACTATCCCTTTACAATAGTCAAAGATGGTCCTATTTCAATGTAATATCAAATGAGGGTCCATTAACCTGTTTCTCACTGATGCTCTTTTATTCTGACTTCTACTATTTTCCAACTGTTTTCCACTCATTTCTGATTTGTGGCTCGTTTCTTCTTGATTTGCATTTGGATCATTCTTCTTTTGTGTTTTCCAACTGATCGGACGCTTTGGTTTTCTCTCGCACACCCCTCTTCTCCCCGTTTTCCTTCACACTTCTTCCCCTCATGGCTCCCTCTTCCTCTCCAGCTGGGTTTGTGAAGTCGCCAATGTCAGAGATAAAGCTCACAGGAGACGCCTTTGAGCTGTACTGCGATGTGGTGGGTAACCCCGTGCCGGAGATCCAGTGGTGGTATGCCGATATTAACAGGGCGGACTCCTTCAAGCAGCTGTGGGATGGCGCACGCAAGCGGCGGGTGTCCATCAACACGGCGTTCGGTGCCAACGGTGTGAGCGTTCTGGCCATCGCCCGCCTCACGCTGGAGGACGCCGGGATCTACGAGTGCAGGGCCAGCAACGACCCGCGCCGCAACGACCTCCGCCAAAACCCAGCCATCACCTGGATCCGAACGCAAGCCACCATATCCGTGCTGCAGAGTGAGTGCTCTATGTACTGTAGTAGCTAGATGCTCAAACATGCACTAGTGTCCCCCTGCGTCCCTCGTGCAAAAACAGCTACGGACTAGGGCTGGGTGGCGTGATTCTGATTACCTGTGATGCAGTTCGATTTTAAAATGGGAGCAATTTAGTTTTGACATGTCGTTCTGCATGCAACCATATGGATATTGAATTCAGCTGATTCACCAGGCTACGTGGTCTCATGGCAAAAAACGTACCTGGGGGCACTTTTTCGCGAGACGCGAAATACGTACCAATAAGTACATATCACTGCAGTTTCCAAAAGAAATTAACACTAGAGGCAGTAAAACTCCGACACCTTTTATTCCTTTTCACACAAATTTACAGAGTTTCGATTAAACAAAACAGTTCAAATCTGCATATAAGGAAGTTCAAATGGCACGGTTGCATCAACAAATGCGCATTTATATCAGTTTTGCATTTGTTAACACTATCAGGTAGGTTTAGGGTTGGGTTTGGTGTAGGGCATATTTCCAACGCGATAAAGCATTAACATTTAGCGTCAGTCCCTGGATATTTGAATTGTGAACTGCCGCAATACGTACCTGAAGCAACGTGATAAAAACACAGCAGTACATACCTATATCAACGTAATAAAAACGTGCCAGGGTTGACGTATTGAACCCGTGTTTTCGCACCACTCAGTGGGCATTTATCTTTGAAACCGCGGCGAAACGTGCAGTAAGTTACGTTAAACGGTGCTGCAGAAAAGTACCCAGAGGTACGTATTTTTATGAGACCAGGTTGGTATCAGGGTTGTGGAACTGAACTGAGAATGTGTTTAATGAATGATGCACAAAATCTGATTCAATTCCTGAATTTGAATTAAGGAACTTAAATTTTGAAGTTTGTCAACTTTCTGTGTGGGCTTGTTTAACCCTTTTGCGTCAATTTATAAAAGGCACATAGAGGACAAAAACATCATAAATGGTCCTAAAAATATTAAATATTATATAATATTATAGTTCTTTACAGCTTTCACTGACATTGACACTAACAGTTTTTTTTTTACCTTTAAAAAAAAAGAAGAAGCATTTAACCCTTTAAATGCCAGTTTGCATAATGCAACTGTTGTTTTTTTTATAAACAAACACACAAATAATTAATTTCTATATACTAAATGCTTTATTGTGGTGGGATTATTACAGTTTTGGATAAATCAATGATTATAAACTACATTCATTGTGATGCTTTATTATTTTTTTGTGCCATAAAAAAATAAAAACATTCACACAGACATAAAAAAAAAAAAAAGATTAAATAGTAAATGATTTGAAGCTTTGTCATCTTTATTAACAGAGAATGCATGGTTTTATGCTTAAATGGCATTGGGATTAAATATTGCAGTTTAAATGGGTTTTACTGGGAAATAAATTTTTGTCATCGAGGTCCTGAGTGTAACTATTTTTTTTGCACCTGGTGTAAAATAGATTTATGAAAGAAAATAAGGGTGAAATATTAAAATTCCAGTAAAATGGCTGAATTTATGCTGTTAGCATTAACAGACAAAATGATTAATAACAAAACAAAGACTAATATCCTAGGGATGCACAAGGGTTAAAAAAAATCTTGATGTTTGAAGGTTTCAGAGGCCTTTAAGACAGACATATTTATGAAACAGGCTGGAACAACACTTACTTTCCCAGAATGCATCACTTGTGTAGAATTTCTTTGAATTATAATTCGGTAATTCCTCCTCTTGTCATTCCAATTCAAATTCCGGTATGTTTTTGCCAGTACAATTTGAATTCTCACTCATGAATTGAAACGAATCACCACTGAATCAATTCGAATCAATTCTTTCATTCTGACCTTTGCACAACCCTGGTGTATTTCAACAGTTTTATGATTTAAAACATTGCACATCCACTCATATATAGAGTGCATTTCTGTTTTATGATATCTACATATTCGTTTGTTATGAATATAATCTGATATTGTAGCATAAATGAGAAAAGAATCAAATGAGGTGAAGCACCTGTCATTTGTAAAGTATTTAAAAAATCCAAAAAAATCCAAAAATAGATATTACCACATGATTATGCAATACATAAAGCATTTTGGCAGCAAAAATAACTAAATAACATTTTCCATGCCACCCAGCCCTGCTACAAACAAAAATAAAACAAAACCCATATTATGTTCATTTGAGTTCATTTTTGGAATTGTATTGATTCCTCTTGTATTTTTATTATGGTTTGACCTTGGTGTGTCCAAATGTCCCCCTTTCCTTCAGGCAGACTTTGAGGATTCCCACTGAATTCAATAGTCCTTCAGCCCCTTTTCTTCTCCTAATGCCTTTGAGCCTCTTGTTGTGGATGACCACAAACCCAGACAAATCCCTGCTCTCTGTCTGCCTCTCCTCCTCCTCCTCTTCCTCACTCCTTCCTCCCTCACCCTATACATGCCGCCCATCCCTGCTGTTTCTGTTTCCTGTGTTGCTTCCTGTTTCCTGTTTTGCTTGGGTTCTTTATTTTTATTTCATACGGACATGATTTAGTCTGTTCGTTTTTCAGTTTTGCATTGCGTGGGTTGTTTTATTTACTTCAAAGCCTGCCTTTGTGTGCCCTGTGCAGAGCGTAAAGCCTAACGGCGCTTTGAAGTCATGCCGTGCTTTTTCTGTGCATTTTGTCCTTGGAAAAGGGTGGATGAGACCAGAAAGAAGACACAAGGAAAAGGGGTCATTTCAGTTAAACGGGCAATTCCTTATCTCAATACCCCGAAAAAAATCACAAACTTATCTCTGTTATAAAACTGCCCCGTTTGCATCCGCCAGCGGAGAATGACCTTGTGCCTTCTTTGCATTTTAGTGTTTGCCTGTGATTCAGTAATGACATGATATTCCACCAAAAGCAGAAGCCAAGCAGTCGGGTCTTAACTGAACTTCAGGGATTCCTGTCCATCAAGAGCTTGCTAAATTAAGACAAATGTCTTTTTATGTCAAATGCAGGTGTATAAACATGATATATTCTGTCATTACTGAGAGTCTGTGATTTCATATTATATACATGTGATACGGCATCTTCACATGCATATAACAGGCTATACATGCTGAAGCGTATAGTTTGTCAACAGGACAGCGTCTAGATTGATGGTGGTCTTGTCGAGCTTCTCGTGTGTAGAGGCTGTAGACTGTAGTGCAAATGTTAATGTTAATATTTATTAGGGATGCACCGATGTATCGGCCGATAAAAGCAATTATCTGCAGTACTGGCCATTGGCCGATGATCTGATTATATCCTGTCAATCCTTTACATCAAAACTGTGCAGAATTTAGACTTGTGCAGGATTTAGGGCTGTCAAAGTTAATGCAATATCACTTACAGTGAAGTACAGTTAATGCAGGGTTTATTTGACCTTATGAATCACCTGTAGTTCAAGCCTGGGTTGCCAGATGTGCAGTTTTTTCCCTCACCAAACATTATTTTTAATGTGCCTCCTGTCTAGTAATCACAGAGCTTTGTGCGTTTGTTACTTCTGATATGAAACTAAGTCTCAGCTCTCAAATTCTGTCCATTTTATCACAAAAATCAAGCAATAAATGCCGTTTTGTCAGTCTTTAATCTGGCGTGACATTGCTGTAGTACGACTCTCTTCCACTTTAATACAAGGTATAATGCGAAATAAACATGCATGAACATCAGATGGTGTTGAAATACAATACAACCTTGCAAAGCTTATCATGTTTCATGTAATCACTCAATCAGTGTTTCAGCCACAGAAAGACGTCAATAAACCAGCTTGTGATCAATATGTCACTTAATGTTGCAATTACCTCAGGAAAGTTATCCGGTGTTCACAATGTATTACTTACAGCTTATTACTGTTAATTATATATGCATGCATGAATAAATCTAAAAGTTCTAAAAACTGCCTTATGTGCAATTGAGTTGAGTACAAACATTTCAGTTTTATTTGAGTGTGATTATTATATCCAGTGTTGGGTAAGTCACTCTAAAAAAAATAAGTAACTAATTACTAGCTACTAATTAGATCTTCAACAGTGTAATTACGAATTACTCTTTCCAAAAAGTATTGCATTACTTATTACTAATTACTTTCTAAATCCCATGTCAACCTCGACCAGCTGAATAATACAAGGATAGACATGAAACTGCTCTTTTAACCCTTTCAAATAAATTCTATAAAATTGCATAAATTCTTTTTGAACTATCCAAAGGGAGAAGTTTACATTAAAAACATACATTTTAAGGTTGTTTGATATAGAATTGTTCTGTAGGCTTTACATCAGAAGTAGCTGTAATTAAATGACAGAAAAATTAAGAGTAATCCCTCACTTTACTTATTAAATTACAGTAATTAATTACTTAATAATGCATTGCACCAAACACTGATTATATCTGATAATAAGTAGCATTTGAATAGTTTGGGGCCCATTGTTAATTTTAACCTTTAATATTATAGTATATACCAAATGAGAGGGATCCCTGTATTGTTTACAGCATTAGTTGGAAGATTTTTTTTTTCTTTAGCAAATCCAAACTGTCAGTGTCCATTTGGGCAGATGTAATAATCGGCTCAATAATCGGCTCTTGGGATCGGTGCATCACTAATATGCATATTTTCACCCCAAACTTCCCTTCACAGTTTTCCGTGATCGTTGGCTGATGATTGTGAGCAAGACCGACTCATTAAACTCCCTCCTCTTAGCAGGTGTCCTCCAGATGACCTTCGGCAGGATCTCCAGCCGTTCTGTAGCCGTGCAGACTGAGATTTTCTGGTTGTGTGTAGGTGAGAGTATAGGCGATCGAGAGAGAGCTAGCAGTAGCGTTCCCCTCGGCTAAACCAAACTGCAGGAGGAGGTGTAAGGAATGCTAATTGGAGTTTCTGGCGGCACACGGATCATCCCGTGCCTCTCCCAGCGGAGCGGGAATAATATCTGGAGGTTTACTGTACAAGCCAATCACAGAGTGATTATGCCTCGCCCTGCTTTTTCCAACTGGGTGCTGCGGTTGCTACGGTAGAGATTCACACACATGGACACCTCGCTCATTTGATTAAAGTCTGTATGTTTAGATTAAAAAGCTAGGATGGAAAGTAGTGACATTTTTGTTATTTGAGCCCATAGTAGTCCCAGAAAAAATCTCCTGATTTTCCGTCCAGATTTTGAGGGAAAATCTATAGAATGTATTTGAATATTTAAATAGCTAATATAGTAAAATGTTTCAAATGGAGAAAAATTCCCTCCAAAAATATTTAGAACTAAATTTAAGAATTTGAATTGCATATAAATGTTCCATCTATTTGGATTACATAGTTTTAACATAAACAAACAAACAAACAGATTTCTGTAATAGTACTAATAAACCGAATGTGTTTTAAATACACATTAACCAGATTATTATATATTTATCATCAATAAATCCAATTTGATTCAAACTCGCACTTATACGTTTTTACACAACTAGTCATATTTAGCCATGTTTACTTTGCAACTGATTAAATTTAATTGTTTTCACAATGAACAGATTTACGCTGATACTTAAGCAATTTGAAAATATGATTATTTAAATCAAATCAAATAGATGCAAATAGTTGATAATAAACTATGCCATGATTTTTTGAGGTTGTTTATGTTAAAACCATGTGATTCAAATGGATGGGAATTTTATATGCAATTCAAATACATAAATCTTAAATTTAGGCCATTTTTGAGTGCTTTATTGATAGCTAAAAGCATCATCAGTTTGAGCGTAATATTTCATAAATAAACGGGAATGACAGGCATTTCAATTCTGTAAAAATCTACATGTGCAGATTTTTTATTTTGACCAGCTCTTAGACAATATTGAAACCGTAAAGCATTACTGGATATCAATTATGGCCACTGATATATGCCAAGAGAAGACAAGCTGAACCGAAACAGAACTGTTATTAGAAGCTTTGCAGCTTGCACTTGAAATTAAGTTGAACTGGATTTAATGGAAACTGTGGATGATTATGATTATTTCGCTGTAAAAGCGGTCTTTTGCACAATTGATGAGGCTCATATTGTGGTCAGAACACAACTGCATGTTCACTTTTGAGTCTTGATCATCTGCAGGTGCAAATTCAGTGTCTAATTTATGATTTGTGTCAAAATAGAAGAAATTGCGATCCATGTTTGTCCCATTTCAGGCATTCCTTAAGGCAAGTATGGAGGTATATGTGCTCTTAAAGAGACAGTTCACCCATAAATGAACATTCATCGTTTGCATGTCTTTTGAAACCTGCGTGACACTTCTGTGGAAAACAAATTTATCTAAAGCCGATTGTCCGGTGTATCGCATGCTATGGCTTAAAATGCATGAGTTTTGTGGACTTTTTTTTGGAGCTTGACAGTCATTGTTTCCAGTCCAAAAGCAACTCTTTTTGTGTTTCTCAGAAGAGAGAAAGGTTTGAAACGACATGAGGGTGAGTAAATGATGACAGGATCTTCATCTTCGGGTGAATTTTCTCTTTAAGCATCAAGACAATCTATAAAGGGACATATGTTAAACTTGACACTATTTGATGTGCAACTGTAATGTGTTTATTCGTGTTGTCTCCGTTCTCCACACAGGAACACATTCAGGAAGGTCTGAAGGAAACATGAATGTCCATTAAGATCGTAATGTTTTATTCTCTAATTGTCCTGGACTTTGTCTTCGTTTCAGAGCCACGGATCAATGCTTCGGATCAGGAGATTTTGCAGCCTAAAAGCGGGCAGGAGTTGCCCATCACTCTTCAGTGTAACCTCACTAACTCGCACAGCACCCACCGGGAGACCTTCTGGATGAAGAACGGACTGGAGATTGCCAACACCAGGACGGAGCACAGACACACCAAGTTCAAGTGAGATTTCAGCTCTTTGCTTTGGGTTCATCGGTGCTTCTCATTTTTGTTTTAGTTTTTTCTCTCTATTGCATCTGTGACATGCTGTCAGTTACCACAGATTAATCATTTCCGCTCGTGCCTCAGATTATAAAAACGATCAGGAAACATGTTGATAGATTAAGAAAGCCCAGTAGTTCGGCAGGCAGCACATCATCTGTGTTTCAGGCAATCTGCTAATCTGCACTGCACTGCTTATTCTGGCTGACAGGTGGATGAAGCTCAGGAAAATGTCATATTTCACCCCAAAATCAAATGAAATGAATGAAGCATTTATAACACAAATGGATAACAGAAGAATTTATATTGTGCCTTTGCAAAAAAGTTAAAATTTTAATGCAATAATTTGTAATATATTTTTTAGATTAGATTTGTATGTATATATACTGTATATATATATTTTTTTATTTTATATTTTTTTGTTATTCCCATTATCCTTGATGGTGATCTCTCAAACATTTATTTTACATTTATTTTATAAAAATAAAAAATTTGTAATGATAAAACATGTAAATTAAATATATCTTAAATATGTAAAATATATTAATTAATATATATAAATACTGTATGTATGTATATATATATACATGTATGTGTGTGTGTGTAAAACATATTATTATTATTATTATCATATTTAATTATATTATTTTATTCTATAATTATATGAATATATATTATTCTATTAATCATTATAATTCTATTTAACACACGCATATATACATTGAAATATAGAAATTATATAAATAAATATATATTAAATATATATATTTTTTAAATTATATAAATATATATTAAATATAACTTTATATATATATATATATATATATATATATATATATATATATGTGTGTATATATATATATATATATATATATATACACACTATTTTACATATTACAACAATTATTTATTATATATAAATAAATGATAAATTAATTTGTTTGTTTGTTACAGACAAAATACAGTAAAATACTGTAATACTATTTTTTTAAGTTTAATTTTAAATTTATTTTTAAGAGAGCATAAATTAGTACCTAACAAATCAATACATCGTTGTTTTTTGCATATTACAAAAATAGATATTTTTACAGTAAACATTGTAATAGTTTTGTTTATAAAAATGTAATTTAATTTTTTTAAATTTAATTTAAATAAGCATAAATTAGTATGTGACATAAATATATAATTGTTTTTTTTTTTGCATATTACAAAATAGATTTAATGGATTTTTTTATTTATTTATTACAGTAAAAAACTGTAATACTTTTTTTATTCATAAAATTTTAGTTTACATTTTTAAATTTAGATTAATTTTAATTAAGCATAAATTAATATCTGACAATACCATTGTTTTTTTGCATATTACAATTTGATTATATTAAATATATATAAAAAATATAAATTTAATTATATAAATGTCAAAATATATATTAAATATAATAATAATAATACATTTTATTATATCATTTTATTATTCTATTATTTATTATGATAATCATGGCATGAAAATGTCAAAATGCAAAAATCTGCAGTTCTTAAAACAGACTTCATTTTCATTTAAACTAAATGTAATTTATATATTTAATAATTTTAATTTGAGAATCTAATTTCTCAGCGTCTTTTATTTATTTCTTTTAGGGTGAAATGCAACCTGTCCAATTCACTCCAGCATCGTAGCAATTTCAGAAGAAGCTTTGCCTCAAATTATATTTCATATACCCGTGAAGTCTGTAATGTCAAGCTCTTTTAGAAACTCTGAGGACAGTCCGGATGTTCAAGCACGAAATCTCTTTAGTAACACGTCTGATGAGAGCGAAACCCCCCCAGCAGAGCTCTGGCTGAGAGTGATGTGGCGCGAGGCGATCTGCTGTCAGACTGCATGTCACGGGCTCCAGAGAGAGCAGACAGCACTGCGTAATCAAGCCCCTGTCCATGTTCCCAGTGCAGCGTGCCGCCAGAATACATCTCCACACAACCGGCCACCTGAAAAATGCTTTCTGAAAATGCTGTCATAATAGGTCGCTCTCTCTGATGATTAATAATGCTTCACTGATTAATATCGGCTCTTAAAGCAATAGCGCACACAAAAATTATTCCATGTCGTTTCAAACCTTATTTATCAGTTGCTCTTTTCTATACAAGTTGCTAGTGAAAATGTCTGTTAAACTCCAAAAAAATATATATTTATGTATGTATATGGAAAGCATAAATTAGTATGTGACATAAATATATAATTGTTTTTTTTTTTGCATATTACAAAATAGATTTAATGGATTTTTTTATTTATTTATTACAGTAAAAAACTGTAATACTTTTTTTATTCATAAAATTTTAGTTTACATTTTTAAATTTAGATTAATTTTAATTAAGCATAAATTAATATCTGACAATACCATTGTTTTTTTGCATATTACAATTTGATTATTTATTATATTACAGTAAAAAAAAACTCTAATATCAAGATTTTTATTTTTTATTTGAACGATTTCTAAATGTAAAAAAAAAATCATTTTAATTTAAAAAAGCATTAATTAATATAGTATTGTTGTTGTTGTTTGCATATCACAAAAATTAGATTTACTTATTTCTATTTTGTGGTGAAATATGATCCAGGCATATCCTTGCCTCATTTGGAGGTTCTGCTAATTTTCTGGACAGTGGGAGCTACAGATGACACGAATAATATTTGTATGTATATGAAGTGGATTGTGATCTCCACTAATGCCCCTGAGACCCGACTCGGTCTGAGCTTGCCTGCGTGTTCCTCGCAGTTAAGCCAATTTGTTTTGACACGGCCGTCGGACGCACTGAGCATGCCCGGACCGTTATGTCAAGGCTCTCGTTAAGCGTTGCCTGGTTACGTAACGCGATGATGTTGCTGTTTGCCCCGAGTCTGTTAGATGACAGCATTCAGCTCCGTTCTGCTAGAAACACGCGATGAAGAAGCTTCCTGACGTATTGTTCCTGTCCTGTCTGTGTCTCTTTACATGCATCTTTACTGGAGCCGCAAGACACTTTAATTCAGGAATCTACGCTGAAGTTGTTTTAGGGTTTTTTTTTATGCTACATAGTATTTTGGTGAATATTTTATAGTGTCTAATTATTTATTTAATAAATAATTAGACATTATTTTTGATTAATTAAATAAATAATTATTATTTATTTTGCAAAGACAGAAAAAGGGCACATTTTACCACATAATCAAGTGAACAAAAATAAATTGTTATATTTTGTAATTCAAAATGTCATTATTTCTATTTAATAATTATATTTTGCAATATAATAATTTTTATTCATTTTTTTTTTTTTTGCAAAAAGAAAATGACACCTGTCATTGCAGAAAAAGGATATATTGCAAAATTGAATTATTTAATAGAAATTATTATTTTTAATTAACTGTTTTTATGACTATTACAATTATTTGTAATTTCCATTTTTCTCAAATGTGATTCTCGTTTGATTTTCATTACTTTAATATAGTCATTTTTACTATAATGCTTTTTAAACAACAGTACATCCAAATACTATCATGTACAAATACTGTACAATTGAAATAATATTTTCTTAATTTTTTTTTATTACACTAATAAGAATGAGATTTTCTGCATTAAGATAATTCAAATGTGAGGCAAAATGTGTCATGGGAATAATGTCACAACGTAAGAAAAAAAAAAAAAAAAAAAAAAAAAAAAAAATATATATTTATGTATGTATATGGAAAAGAAGCCTTCTGAAGTCATATATGCAACGTGTGATAAAAAGACAAAATGTGATAAAAGACATTTTTTCTCCTTTCTCCAATCCATATATTCAGGATTAGTGGCATTTAGTACATTTAGCATCCCCTTTTTTATATGAATGCAAGTTGTCTATGGAAGCTTGTTTCTGTCACGGGGTCAAAAAACAATTAAAAAGGTAATTACGACTTATCTTAAAATTCAGATTTTTTTTGTGCAATTCTGAGTTTACATCTCGTAATTGTCACATTTCTGAGAAAAAAGTCAGAATTGAGAGATATAAATGCATATTTGGGAGATTGCAAGAAAAAAAGTCAGAATTGTGAGATAAAAAGTCGCATTTACCTTTTTTATTTTTTATTTCTTTATGTAAACGAAAGTCGTTTAACTCAGTATTCTGATTTTAAAAAGTCTGAATTGCGAGAAAGTCCGAATTCTGAATTTATATCTCAATTCTGACACTTTTTTTTAATATCAGAATTGTGCAAAAAAAGAGAATTTTGAGATATAAACTCAGAATTACGAGATATAAATGCATATTTGGGAGATATGATAAAAAAGTCAGAATTGTGAGATAAAAAGTCACATTTCATGATGGAAACAAAAAAGTCCAAATTGCAAGATGTAAACTCAGAAATCTGATTTTAAACAGTCTGAATAGAATAGAATAGAATAGAATAGAATAGAAACTCGGAATTGCGAGAAAGAAAATCAGAATTCTGAATTTATATCTCACAATTCCGACTTTTTTATCAGAATTGCGATAAAGTCAGAATTGCAAGATGTAAACTCAGAATTCTGATTTTAACAAATCTGAATTGCGAGATAGAAACTCAGAATTGTGAGAAAGAAAGTCAGAATTCTGAATTAGTATCTCGTAATTCTGACTTTTTCCCTCAGAATTCCTAGAGAGAGAAAAAAGACAGAATTGTGGAGATAAAGTTTTATTTTGTATTCCGTGGCAGAAACGGGCTTCCATAGATGTCAGAGCTTTGGTGGGAAGATTATCTGTGAATAATGTTTCTGTTCCTGCATTCAGCAGTAGAGCATGATGCTTGCAACGCCAAAGTCATGGGTTTGATTTCCAGGGAATGCATGAAATGATGTAATGTAAAGGTATTAGCCAAATGCATAAATGTAAATGTTCCTCACACAAAGATACTATACGGCTTCAGGAGACTTGAAATATTGTGCAATCAGTATGAGCTTGAATGGGAGAAACAGCACAGGTTTGCAGTGACATGAGGGCGAGTAAATAACGGTATTTTCAGCGTTTGGTGAACTGTTCTTTTTGGTTTTGTAGAGATGCTCCAGTTTGGAGTTGGCAGTGATTGTGTTTCTTGTTTTGTAGGTTAAGTAAACCCAGGACAGATGCTTCGGGTGAATACATGTGCGTTTACACCTTTAAGTCGGCTCCCAATGCCAATGCTTCCATTGAGGTCAAAGGTAAGAAATCCTTTCACAAAACTCATTAACATACTGTTAACAGCGTCCAGAGGAGACCTAGCCCGTGTTATAATTAGGTATTGTTTGGAGTGTAATTAGCCTCTCTTCACCTGTATGTTTCAGACTGTAAATGAAAAGAACTCAAAAGAGGAAAGAAAATGTGAGACAAACGACACTCTTACTGCTTTTTTGTAATTCTTGTATTTCTTAATGGTGTTTCTCATTAGATTCTCATTATTGTAATACAGTAATTTTTTATATTAAAAATGAAATACTTTGAAACTTATATAAATATAAATTAAATATAAATGTAATTTTTTTTTATTAAATAAGCATAAATTAGTAAATGACAACTGTATATATATATATATATATATATATATATATATCACAACGTAAGAAAAAAAAAAAATATATATATATATATATATATATATGTGTGTGTGTGTGTGTGTTATATTTTAATATATTTTCATATTTTTTCAATATATTTCTAATTCTGTTCTCAAATGTGATTTTCATTAGAAACAAATTCATTTTCACTGTAAATATACAATATTTTTCATACAATATACATCAAATACTAATGTATCATATAAATAGTTTACAATTTAAATATATAATTTACATAAATAACTAATCAGATGTTTTGCATTAAGGTAATTCAAATTTAAATGTGTTATTAGTCATGAAAATAATGTGTTATTTAAAAAAAAATGTAATGGTCCTAAAAATAGGCTTCATATTCTTTAAGCAAAATACAATGTCTTATTTGTTTCTTGTGCTGAAATATGACCTGCACATGTTTGATTTGAGATTCGCCCGACACTAAAAAAAGAGTCCTGAAGCCCAGTGACATGAGCCAAAGATATCCCGTCTTCAATATCAGATGAATATGAGGTTCTGTCGTCCAGTGGGAGTCGTTCAGGTTGAATGTGGCCCATCATGCATTCTGTCTGTTCACCCTCAACCACTCCAGTCTTTGGCTCTCTCTCTCTCTCTCTCTCTCTCTCTCTCTCTCTCTCTCTCTCTCTCTCGCTGTGTCTCTCTCTCTCTCTCTCTCTGTGCGTGTCTCTCTCTCTCACACACACACACACACACACACACACACACTTTGAGGGAACAGATGGAGGTTCATGCAGTGGGTTGGGTCTGGATTAAGGCTCTGGATTCACTCCCAGTGTTTCTAATGGCAGGAGTTTACAGTCCACTATCATAATCTGCCCTGCGCATGCATGTTTCAAGCGTTACACTCCCAAGTCTTTTAAAACAGCAATATATTGTGATGTTTGTGCACAGTAATCAGAGATCGCTCTTCCATATGGTGGCGTAATCGAATTAAATCACGTCAGGTGCGGTAAAACTCAGCCTGCACCTTTACGTGTGTTTATATTTAGTAAGGCATTATTAAGGAAGGATGTCGGTGCGCAATCTGTCGTGCGCGTGAGTCACTTTTACTCCATACATTCGCTCTGCATGAATTCCTGTCTCGATTCTGCTGTATATATTCCATCTGTCGCAGATTGCATTGGGGTTTGGGTTACACTAGCTCTTTCCTTTCAAGGCAAATGAGACGCCCTGCAAATAGCAGCGTAGAGCAGGTATCCCGACACCGTTACCGATCTCTGCCCGGCATTGATCACTCGCTTCCGCAGGCGATCAGGGTTTGAAAGAGGACCAGACGATGGGATGGAAAAGAGGGAGAAAGAGACATTTGTGTTCGGAAGGATGCTGTGAGGATAATGCTGCGCTCACTGTCGCTTTTCAGAATATAATGTCTTATTTTGGGTCACATTTCACCACTACATCAAATTAGCAAAAATAAGTTATATTTCATGTTTTAATAATTATTATTTATATTCATGGAAATAATTCAGTATTCAGTTATATATGTATTATATATATTAATTATGTATGCTCTATATATTAAATATCTACAGTATATAGAGCATACATAATTCATATATATATAATACATATATAACTGAATACTGAATTATTTTCATGAAATATAAATATTAATAAATACAATTTAAAATAATTAATATAATATGAAATATAAAAATGTATAAATAAAAAAGATCTTAACAGTCCTAAAAAAAGAAAAATATATATATATTATTTATTTATTTTTTGCAAAAAGAGAATGACACCTATTTTTAGAACTGTTACGATATTAGGTCTGCGCCGTCTCATTATGTCAATCATTTGCGGTGTTGGGATACACAATTATGCAAGAACGGTTCAGAATGTCTCTTTTTTTTCCATCCAAAACTCAGTATTCAGGAATTCTCAGTATTTTTATTTTCTTGTTTTCCAGTGCAAATATCTAAACATTCTTAAATCAAGATACATCTACTTGAGAAGCAAAATGACACAAGAAGTCTTAATTTCTGAGAATTTTTTTCAAATTAAGTGAGTTTATGCTTAAGATTAGAAAAAATTGGGTCAAAAAAATAAACATGTTTTCCTGTTGAATTAAACGACCCCAAACTTTTGAACGATAGTGTATATTGTTAGAAAATATTTCTATTTTAAATAAATGCTCTTCTTTTTAACTTTTTATTCATCAAAGAATCCTGAAAAAAAGTATCACAGGTTCCAAAAAAATATGAAGCAGCAACAGTTTCCAGCACTGATAATAAATCAGCATATTAGAATGATTTCTGAAGATCATGTGACACTGAAGACTGGAGGAATGATGATGAAAATTCTGAAATCTGAAAAAATCAGAAAAAATAAAATCTGAAAATGCTGATTTGCTGCTCAAGAAACATTTCTGATTATTATTGTGCTGCCCAATATTTTTGTGGAAACTGTTACATTTTATTTTTCAGGATTCACAGATGAACAGAAAGTTCAAAAGAACAGCATTTATTTGAAATAGAAATCTTCTGTAACATTATAAATGTCTTTACTGTCACTTTTGATCAATTTAATGGGTCCTTGATGAATAAAAATATAAATTTCTTTAAACAAAAAATCTTATTGACCCAAAAAGATGTGTACGGTAATGTATCCTGAAAGTATGACAATTGTCATCATTTACTCTCCCTCATGGTATGACACTGAAATCACATTGAAATGTATTTCATAGACAGCTGATGAGGAGGTGATGTCATGAATCACATTGATTTTCTCTTCATAGGACATTGACAACAGCACCGGCCGATTCTTCGTCATCAGCAAAGAGAATTTCACAGAGCTGAGCATCATGGGTCTGGACATCAGCACAGATCCGGGCGAGTACGTCTGCAACGCCTCAAACATCATCGGCTCCAAAGAGTCCGTGACCATCCTGCGAGTGCGGAGTCACCTCGCCCCGCTCTGGCCTTTCCTGGGCGTCCTGGCCGAGATCATCATCCTCGTGGTCATCATTGTGGTTTACGAGAAGCGCAAGAGGCCAGACGAGGTTCCAGACGGTAAGTAGTGCTCTGCTTTTAAAGATTGTTGCTAAAGGTCTTGCGGTATTATTTCCTGTAGCTGCTTGTTGAAATGCTGACCATCATTCTGATGTACACTACCGGTCAAAAGTTTGGGATCAGAATGATTTTTAATGTTTTTACAGGAGTTTCTTCTGCTCATCAAGGCTGCACTTATTTGATCAAAAATACAAAAAAAAATGTAATATTGTGAAATATTATTATGATGTAAAATAACGTTTTTCTATTTTAATATGCATTAAAATGTAATTTTAAAGCTGTATTTTCAGCATCATTCCTCCAGTCTTCAGTGTCACATGATCTTCAGAAATCATTCTAATATGCTGATTTATTATCAGTGCTGGAAACTGTTGTGCTGCTTAATATTTTTTGTATAGTGCTTATATTGTTAGAAAAGATTTCTATTTTGAATACATGCTGTTCTTTTGAACTTTTTATTCATCAAATAATCCTGAAAAAAGTATCGCAGTTTCCAAAAAAATATTTGGATAATTCTAATAATAAATCAGCATATTAGAATGATTTCTTAAGGATCATGTGACACTT